ACAGCCTGCTTATATATTACGATAGCAGTTATATATTGTGCACGGCGAACCATACCGCGGACACCGGCAACTTGAAGCTTCTAGCCGGCTTCAGAAGCACGTGATATATGAGTAAACAATAGTGGATATGCGTAGGTTATCGGAGTACCCACATTTTACAGACACGTTCTTTATATTGAAATATGACGCCTGAAAGCCGGAATAGTTGAGCCAGAACAAAATCCATTGCTAGACAACGGCTCTCCAAACACGCGTTCTCGAAACAACGAACAAACGCGGATGTCCATTCTTAGTCAACGACTCTCGTAACACATGTTTCCGCGGAAACGGAATAACAGAGTAACAGAGGAACTGTAAGACATGGTGATCTATATTCAGTTCGACTGGAAGTTAGTTCAGTTCAAGAGTGAGTCGTGAGCAGTGATTCTGATGCATTCGAAAGACAGTTCAGTGTTCAGCTGTGGAGTGACAACCAGCGGACAGCGGAAGCTGAGGGAGTGACATTCGCAAATCGGAACCAAATCAGTCACGCAGAAGAGAAGACACTCGTAGTCCAGTGAGGAATTGAGGGATTCTTAGAGAGTCATTGATTGTGAGCTTCTGTAATTGGTTGTAATTGTAAAGAAGTACCAATAAATCCAATCATCCAATTCAGAACTAGCTATTGTTAGGCATGGAACCCCTCATACTTCACAATATGTTTGCGTGCATCATCATTCTTCATATTATTTTATTGGAAATGAAATCCGTTTTTGCAAAAGTTATTTGCACTGTGGTTATGGCATTGCACAGGGCCATGAATTTGTTTGCTTGCGTCTCGTTTAGTATTAACGACACCGGAAAGTGTTTTGAATAAAACCTGTGACGCAAATTAAAGCCTGTATTTCTATTATGTACTAATTGTTTAGAAAGATGAGCCATTTTTTTTAGAAAAACGATAAAGTTCTATTGATCTGCATATAAATAGCGGTTATATATATATATTACAGACACGAATAAAAATTAAATTCAGTAGACAACTTACAGGCCTAGTTTTGGATACAAATACCAAATTTTGTCAAAATTTGACGCTACATGTTTCAGCCCTTATGTTGGGCCGTCATCAGGCGTGCAAGAATACTAATATTAGTTCCTGAATTGCGTCTTAATCCAATATGGAACCATATTGTGTTCTTATGATTTTTATATACAAAATTTGAATTTACAGTTAAAATTTGATGTTTAGACGGTAAAGGTTAAGATTAAAATTGAGATATTTGCAATATATATTATAAACCACCACGTGCTGATGATACAGTGTTCCAGGTGGTAGGAATAATTATGGTGTGGGGTGCCTGCGTGCCGAAATCTTCCTTCATAAACTAGGTCGTGTGGTTTGACCTTCCAATTTTGGTGTCAAGCTTATGCTCGTTATACTGTGTCACTTAGCATGTTGTTATAGTTGGGGTGACGTATTGTAGGCTTTTTTAATGTTATGTGTAAAGGCAGTTCCCCGTGATATATACGCGTATATATGTAGTCTCACTGTAGCAAAACCAAAACTTCTATTTTTAAAGAAGTGTATTGGTATATTTTGTACATTTTAGTATTATATTAATCAATAAAGGAATTCCTTATTTTCGAGATCCCATACCACACTCGGCCAACAATCAAGCCACACTAGAGGATCACGTCCCACCGGCTGAGAAACAGTGGCGTAGACTGCACCCGTCAGCGTGTTAGGCAGGTAGGCCGAGGAAGCAGGTAGATTCATTGCTCGAATGCAGATCCAAAACTGTGCTTTCGCCATGGAAATTTGGGAGTGGCTAGGTCACGCTCCTGCACTTCGTATGACATGCGGCTTTCTGTGTTTCTAGAAGCACAAAGACGGGTCGAGCCTAAGTACAAGGAAGTCTACCAACGTTTAAAAAGTAACAGTTTCAGAATTAATTTTTAGTATCAATGGCCTTAATTGGAAGATTAAGAATAAGAAATACCTGAGTGGCGGAAAGATGACCGCTGTACCCTAATAGCGTTTCGAGGAAGAAACCATGGGTCATTTTGGGAATTCTAGTAAGGGAGCTGCAGAGTGTCTTCCTTAAGAGACGTACCGCAGCTGGCTGAGCTGCATGCGGACCAGTAAAGAGTTTGGTATGCATTACGGAAGCGAGGGCAGCACAGTAATGTTACGGTTGAGGTTACTTTCACTCGTCACGTCACTCGTGGAGCTGAGCCCCTCTTGAGAAGCCACAAGTTGTGCAGCTACTCAAGAATTTCCCAGAATTTTATGGAACCCGAACATTCATTACAGTGTTCATAAGAGCCTTCCAATGGTCCCTATCCTGAACCAGCTCAATCCAATCCATACTATCCTATTTCTCTAAGATCCATTTTAATATTGTCCACCCACCTACGTCATGGTCTTCCTAGTGATGTCTTTCCTTCTGACATTCCTACCAATATTCTGTATACATTCATCTTCTCCTCCCATTCATGAGTTTTTCTGCTATTGCTAGTGGGGTGGGACTAAGTCCCTTGTACTGCGGCCACTTCTGGCCTATTGTGCCAGCCCCAGATGATAGGTGAGGGTGATTGTGGAGCAATTGGTGGAATGAAGATCGGCAGGGGAAACCGAAATACTCGGAGAAAGCCTTCCCCAGCGCCACTTTGTCCACCACAAATCCCACTTTACAAGACCCGGGATCGAACTCGGGCCTCCGCGGTGGGAAGGCAGCGACTAACCGCTTGAGCTATAGTGTACTCACTGTACTAAAATTTTCTAGATCGATAGGCCGTGTCAATGTTGAACTGAAAATCAGCTTTCTTAAACGCGATCAAAGACCACAGACTCATATATTTCATTCGTTAAGCAAATGAGTAAGTAGCTATAAGTAGACAGTTCGTGATAAATTGCTGTTATTGATTTTGGAAATGTCTGGTTTCAGGACTGCACAAAGCAAGGTGTCACCGGCTGACTTGAGTTGCGTTTTCCCGTGGCTGTCTTCAGTCTTTGCATTCATATACATCACGGGCATGCCTTTTCAAACCTTCATCTACTCATCATTCATCAACGTCTTTATATCTCATTCCAAGTTTCGAAACCTCTGCAGATGAAACAACGCCGTAAAATAACCTCAGAAGAAAGCACCGAGTTGATACATCTCATTGAACAGTTGATAATCGTCTAATTCGACCACATAATTCTATATAATATAGGGAAAATATGGGCCCATAAAGGATACAATAATAATAATAATAATAATAATAGTAGTAGTAGTAGTAGTAGTAGTAGTAGTAGTAGTAGTAGTAGTAGTGGTAGTAGTAGTAGTAGTAATCTGTGGACGCTATAGTCCGTGATGAACCTCGGGCTCTGTTTTACGCTTTGTTAAGCATATAGACAGTCGGTAGGACTCACTGGGTGGAGGATCAGCCCTATGCAAGGCAGCTACGTGCACAGGCCAACACAAACACAGAATTGTAGCAAACATCAATACCTCGAGTGGGATTCGAACCCAAGACCTAAGAGTTTGAGCAGGCGAAGGCAGTTCATGCCTTAGATTGCTAGGCCACTGTAATCCGCCCACGTAGAGTATACCTTCCACACATACGTGTACATTACATCAATTTCTTCTCCTTCTGTCTCTCCATGTACGATATGTACATACCTACTCGTATACACTGAGAAGCTTATTGAAGCAGTAGCCATCTAGTAATTTTTCGAAACTTGACACATTGGTTGCGTTACTGGTTTCCCTAATTGCGGTTTACTTGGATTTCCTTAGTTACTCTAGGCGAAAGCTAGGATAATAGGCTACTCTCAGAGAGTCTTCCGCCGATTCCTTTCGTATCCACTCGCCATCCGCCATTATATTGTCAACGAAATAAATCAGCCTTCAGCGCCAGTTGTTTCTCTTCCACCCAAACTGAAGTTCTTTCTCTGGAAGAGAAAAGATTAGAATGCTACACTCTGAATTCACCTACATGAGGGTGAGAACAGACGGAGGTTTAGTCTGCTTCAGCACGTGCATGATGTGATGGTTATAAGGACAGTTATCTGCATAACTCAAGAAGCAATAATAATTATGTAACAGTTACAGCCCGGCTAACTAGCCTGTGCGTCCTCACAACACCATTAATAATTTTGCGAGTAAAACCTCTCTAAAACCTAAGGTAAAAAGTAGAGTTGTCCCTGTGCTTAACTAATTAACCACTACGCCATGATGTGCGGAGGAGTGGATGTACAGATTCACGTTTCCTTGACCTCGGAACTAGTTGGAGAAGGGTGGTCAGCTCCACGCCCCCGGTTGCTTTACCTCGGGGGAAAGAGCCCCGGCACCCATTGGGTAGAAGGTTGCGTGGGCCCAAGAGCCGGTGTGGACGACATGGAGAAGTGAAAATTCTTCACCCCATCGGGACTCGAACTTCGACCTCTCGGTCGTCCAGTCCGTAGCCAATTGCTATACCTACTGCGCTATACCGGCTCCAATCTGGCTGGTTTTAACGAATGTAAATTTCATAAAAATGTCTTCCTTTTCTTTGTATACGAATGTACCGACATGTCGCTGGTATACAGCTTTTAGAGTAGATTATCTGGAAAAAAAAAAGGCAAACCATAATTTACTTGAATCATGTCCTGTAGTATCATATTACAGAGGAATTTTTAACTCCCATGGCATATATATAATCTGAGCGGTGCGTCTTCTTTTCGGCATTTCTTTTATCAGTATATCTTTTTTTATGTTTCAAGTGGGGTGATTTCTATGCCTCTGGTATTCTTGGTCTTGAAAGATGAGGGGGCTTCTGCTTCGTGTCATCTCTTAGGAAACAAGTTGAATGTGTCTGGCGTATTGGATGCTGTGAAGGGAGTGATTGCAGACAACGAACGCAAAGGAAACACTTGAATTTCATTCGGCAAAGTTCGGCTCCCTCATCCATAAAACTTCGGCTGTGATCGTAACGAGCATCGGCCAGCGCAGCATGCTCTCCCCTTCGGAACCCGCGCCATTCTGTCCGTGGCCGTGTTTGGTCCCTCTAGTGCAGTCAGTTTAGTTCAGAGCTGCAAGGGAAGTAGTCAGTTTCCCGCGTCTTGTCTGCATTTTCATCCGCACACACGAATTATTATTAAGCCTAGTCGCATGTGACCACTGTAGTGCTGCCGTTAAATATATGTCAGTTCATAAGTTGAAAGTTGGGTGTTGACGGTGTCAACATGGGCATTGGAGCTTCTCACTGTTGTGTAAGAAAATTCGGATTCTAGGAATTAAGATGTTGCAGTGAACGATTTGAATCGTAGAACTTGTTAATAATTGGAACAGACTTGGGTCAGTATGGTTCTTTCTTAAAGTAAAATAAATATGTTTTTGAGCGTAACACTCCATGGCCATCTTCCGTAATGCGGAAGTGTTCGTGGAGTTTCCGAGAAAAAACGGAACGAATGTTAAAAGACTTGTGCTGAGAACAACAATGCAGTGCAGTGCTACAATGACAGCTTCATGTTGCTGGGTGAAAGCTGTATTATTTGTGATGTGCCTAGTGGACCTGTGTTATGGTAACCTTAACCTGTACCTCAGTCAGTGGGAAGTCAGGCGATTGCTTGGTAAGTCTTTTCACACACTAGATTTACCGTATAATTTCAAGCACTTACTAGAAGGTGGTTAAAAGAGGTTAGGATGCAGGTATGTTTATCAATAAACACTTGCGATTAAGAAACTTCTTTTGTAGATTTTCCATCTGATTTCTAACCGATACGGCTTGTATGAATTTAGTAGTAGTTTCTTTCGTTATGTTGAAGCACAAACAGGGGAACATCACGGCTTGGTCGGGCTTGTAGTTATTGAATGGAGCCGAACCTATTCAGTGAAGATAAAGTATTTTCCATTTCATTTGTAACAAAATAAAACCTTTATGTCGGACACACTGCACCGAATGAAGGTTAGGAAAACTGACATTACACATGTAATCATAAGAGGAACCGGATCGTAGCGTGTGACATTTGTGGAGGGAAACTTTCGTTCTGGCATGTTTGTTTACAGTGTTCCATTATGTTGACATTCATTCTCACTCATCGTTCGTTGATGCACGTAGTGGACCCATGAATAATCTCTGTGAGGGATACAACACTGGGAACTTATCAGTCTGGACAGGTTTGTCACAAATGGAAATTGAGGAAAGGTGTTTGGAATGGAGCTGCTGGAAGGGACAGGGCATTTGGAAACCGTAACTGACCCACACATCATATTCCGCATCGATTTAGAAGTCACAAAATTATTGTATCATTCTGAGTAGTGGGTTTAATTTATACTGCCAATGATTCCACGCTTGATTTTAATTAGATAATTTTGATTTCTAAAAGTCTTCCAGAATTATTGAAAATGATGTTACGTAGAATAATTTGCATATCCCGGTACAGGGTTGTTAAATTTTAACCATTTCTTTTTTAATTCACTCTCACTCTCGTTGTAGCCACAGTTCCACGTTTGTGGCGACATGCATGGTTCTAGGATATGGTGAATCGTTCGCCACAAGGAATGGGATATAATATCATTTATTATGCCATCCCAGTGTTTGCTTGGAGTAGCTGAGGGAAACTAAAATCTATCCGTATCCGAGACGGCGATAAAAGAAGGGAAGCTTCACCCACCATTATTTGAAAAGTGACTTAATAATGTATTAACGTCCCCGTAATTTTTCCTGTGTTGTAACCCAATTCAACGTTTTGAATTCTCCGCTGTTTAAGAACCAGGTAGTATATGTGAGTAGATGTATTTTAGCAGATTAACATATAATACGAAAAATCATAAATCGATTAAGTACTGTAGGCCTCTGCTGGGGACCGCTTCTGTGGTCTAGTGGTCAGAGTTCCTGGCTACAGATCCAGAGGACCCGGGTTCGATTCCCGGCGCTACCAGACTTTCTGAGAAGTAGTGGGTCTGGAACGGGGTCCACTCAGCCTCGTGAGGATAATTGTGGAGCTGTTTCGAGGAAATAGCGGCTACGGTCTAGAAAACCGAGATTAACGGCTGTGTGGATCCGTTGCGCTGACCACGTGACACCCCCTATCCGCAAAAGTTGGCACTAACTTCGCTCGGTCGGTATAGTTCACTTGCGGACTACAGGCCACGGAATTTGTTTGGTGGTCTCTGCTGTGACACGTTTCTTGCAATGGCTGCAAAATATAATTTAGAACATAGATTTTCAAGAATATATGACATGCTGTTGAAAAGGATCGTTTTGTTGTAAATATACCAGAACATCGGTTGATGTGAAGCTAGTCATTGAATGTACAAGCATGTAGGTAGGACGTTTATTCAGTTTATGTGGCCTACAGCCTATTTCAGATTCGAACGAAACTTGATAATAGTGCTTAAGTGTGGCTACTTCCGACATTTCCACGCTGATTTAGAATTGCTGATTTTATAAGGCATATAGCGCGGTGGCTCGTAGCTCATCTCCCACAACAAACTTTTATAAGAGCCTTCCGAAGTGCACTGATCTCCACGGGAACGATAAACCGTGACTGGTGCTGAATATGGATGCTTCCATGAAGCAGACTAAAAGAATCTGGCCGTGTGGATTTTCATAAATGTCTAGTCGGTTGAAACTGTTTCTTGAGCCGTGTGGCCCATCACCATTGTTTCACAATAACATACCATTTCTTGTCTTGGTGTTACATTTTAAGTAAAAAATTGTCGCCGCATGCGCGAAAAAGAGCGTTACCTGCTCACGTTCGTTTTCAATAAATCGTTAATCTGCCTTATAGGATGGCTTCAACTATTATATGTAAACTGGCGAACTCCATGGAACTGAGTCCTTGAGAAGTCGTTCAGCTACTCAAGAGTTTCCCAACATTTTATCCAACCATCCCACCACTGGTCCCTATTCTGAGTCATATGAATTCAGTCCCTACCACCCGAACCTTTTTCTCCAAGATCCATTTTAATATTATCCTCCCCCTATGGCTAGATCTTCCTACTAGTCTCCTTCCTTCTGGCTATCCCATCAACGTCCTCAACACGTTCTTGTCCTCGTGCATGCTACATGGTCTGCCTATTGCTTCCTCCTCGACTTGATGATTCTGATGTTTTTTTGGGAAGTATACGTTGTGCTTTTCCCCAGCCTCCTGCCCCATAATCCACAGCACGCTGTTCTCAGACGCCTGTTCATATAGTTGTTTCCATGATAAGTATACAAACTACTTTAACATTAAGTATCTCTGGTCTGGTAATTTACATAATTGCAAACCTTAGCTACTTACTGCAGTTTAGATCGCTCGGCTTAGTCCAGTTCCGTTTTCACTATTAGCAGTGAATTCTTTAAGGACTCCTTGGATGCGGATCGGTCATTCGTGGGGCCTCTGCCTCCGTAAATCAGTATATCAGTATTCAGGAAAAAAAAAGGATGTACATTTGTGCCCCTCGCGGAATTCGAACTCATGGTCCCAGTGGTCGAGTAGCCCAGGACTTGAAGCGTCGTAAATCTCGCCGCTGCAGTGACTGGCTGTGAGAAAGTACATCGTCATTTTTCCCTCCTCTGCGCTTACAAGATTTTATCGCCTTTTCCGTGAGGTTAGTATCCTTAGAACTTGGCATACTTTATCAGTCGGTTCAGAGCCGGAATAGCAACTGGCTACCGGCTGGACGACGGAGGGGTCGGAGTTCTAGTCCCCGTAGGGTCAGGAATTTTCATTTCGCCATCTTGTCCATACCGGCTCTGGGGCTCGCCCAGCCTCCTATCCAATGCGTACCGTGGGCTCTTTCCCTGGGGGCTAAAGCGGCCTGGGCGTGAAGTTGACCACTCACCTCCTACTGGTGCCGAGGTCAAGAAAATGTGGACCCATACATCCACCCCCCATACGTCATCATGGCGTAGTGCTTAATTAATTAAGCACAGGAGACAAGTTACATCTTTACTTCTGTAAGTCAGTTATTCTCTCTAATTCAGTCACTCCCATTACACATGATAGGCATTAGGATCTCATGTGAGTTAACACATTGGACCAAGTTTCGTTTGCTGCCTTAATTCCGAAATCCGCACCAATTTTTGCGTAAAACTAGGTTTCCGTTTCTTCTGAGTCGTATAATGCAGAAGATTCATGCGTACAATTTTCGTTTGCGTTCGCGTTTGCGATTCTGTTTGTTTAATCCCAAGGCGTGTCTTTTGATTTGGCAGCTCTGTCCATCTGTGTATATCCGTAGGAGCTAATCGGGAAGGGGTCTGAACCAGGAGGCTCACTTCCTCTGGCGGAAGGAGCTATCTTGTCTTTATCACCATCGTGTTACATTTTTGTGACGCATAGTAAAGAGGAAAGTAAGATTTTAATTGTTTGAAAGTACCGTATTTTATGTTTTCTATGTTAAAATACGTATAACTTTCGTATTGAAAACTATTCTTGATTGGAGCTAAGCACTAGTACTATTTCTTATGAATAAACATATCTTCATCAGCTGATAAATTTACCGATAATCGACCAATGATAAATCATGACGGACGCACAGTCATAATGATGTCATAAATCCGTTTTTTTTTTCGTGTAAAATAAGGAATACAAGCTAAAAGTTGTTTAAGGTTTTAAGGCAGAAAGAAAAGTTTATAATTTTTCAATTTAAACGAAACAGACAAGGACCGTGACTATTAACGCGAAAAAGTTCTGGGCTATAATACCAAACTGACAGCCGGGAATGTTTCAAATATTGACAAATCTTATTCAGTAAAAGCTGCTTTTTCTTTCTCCTATTTATTCTTATATTTTCAGCAGATAAAGAAGAGTACATAACTATATAAACAAAAGAGTAATAATGTATTGGCCTATTAAAGCAGAAAATTCGTTTTAAGTCACTGGAAAACTTTGACTGCTTGAGATATCCGGCCTTTGGGGGATATTTCAGGTATTTTGAGGGTCTTGAAGTACCACCGGATGAATTCAGACTCAGTTTAGTTACGATGCAACAAATGTAACATAATCTTGTACGAAGAGTTTGTAATAACCATGAGAAGTTGGCCTGAATTATTTAATTCTGTAGCGGTATTTTGAGAAATCTATGTACTCGTAGTAGCTATGCCAGTGGGCTCACTCATGGAGCTGAGCACTTCTTGTGCAGCTACTCAAGAACTTCCCAGCATTTTATGGAACCCGAAGGTTCATTTCCATGTTAACAAGAGCCCTCCACTGGTCCCTATCCTGAGCCAGATCAGTCCAACCCGTACCATCCTATCTTATCTCTAAAATCCATCCGAGAAACCCCTCTTCTAACACAGAAGGCTGAGATCGATCATTCGCGAGGAACTTACAGAAGGGCTCGACGTAAAGCTGCTTAGTTCAGAGCAGCGCAGTAGCAGGCGAGTGCATCTTGAGTCAGTCACTGCAGTCCGTTAGTAAGTCATCTAGTTAAGGTAGTTAAGTTTTCGGGTCAGTTGAGGCCAGTACAGAGAAGGCGAGACAAGAGACACATAGCAGTGAAATAACGAGTGGGACACTAACTGCACTGAATGTCGGTAAACGTTGCTGTAATAACATGCTGTAAGTCTTGAGTTTCGAACTCGAACATGTCACGTCGATCGTCGTGATTTATTAATTGGCAACAGAAAATAGCGATGGAG